GAGAAAACTCCTAATCCAACAGGCTAAACCTCTTGGTGATGCATATTGACTTCTCATTTATTTCCAGGGCCGGCAGAGGAAATTTAGGAAAATGCAGAAACATAAAAGTAACCTCTTTCATTTCTAAAGGAAGTACTGGTGGGCAATAAAACTCCTTTTCTTCTGTGTAATCCACAGGAAAAGGATTGAGGTTTATGCCTTTAACAGGCTAAGAAATCGACAATGAGCCCCAGTAAAAAACTGTGCAGCCATAAGTAAAAAAGAATTCACACTTGCTGATAAAAACAAAACACAAAAACAAAGTACCAATCGGCAAAAAACCTGCAATGCCCTGCTTCACTCTTCTGTTCGGAGAAGAGGAAGTCAGGCGGAAGCAGATGGGAGGAACGGCAGCTCTGAGGCTTAGACTTAGTTTTTGTTGTTTTATTTTAAAATCACCAAGTTCTTCCTTCTACTGTATCCTCCTTCAAAGATTGTAAAAACATTCATCACTATCTCCCTGTTATCTTCAGAAATGCTTGGAATGTAGAAGGATTAAAAAAGGAGCAGCAACTACTTGGCAATTAGGTGATTTGCATGAGGGCACATAGTTAAACAAGTGATTGCTAAATATTCTCTGGCTGACTCCTGAATAAATCTTAAGTCTACTGTATAGGTTTTCAAGCAGAATATCCAGGGGGAGCAATGATAGCTCAAGGAGATGAGACTTGAATTTTTCATAAACCAGGCCGAGGCTACCCACACACATCCTGATCAAGATGAGCTTCGTGGAGTCAGTACTATCCCAAGCTATTGGGGAAATATTATGATTTAACAATAAAGAAAACACAAGGTTGTGGGAAGAGAGGCTGGTGGTGGCCAAGTTAGTCTAGGCCCTGGAATTCAACATGGAGCACAATTATTTTGGCCCTCACAAAAACTATGCTCCTGCTACCCATCCCCTTCCAAATTTTCCTATTTCTCCTCCTTATATATTCCTCCATTTTCCACATACCCCTTCACAAGAAAAGTAACTCAACTGCAAAACACTCTTCCTGCATGGTTTTCTTCCTCTTAGCTTTAAAACAATAAACTTAGGGGCCATCAAGGCTTCGCAGGAATAACCTGTCCTTGGTTAAAGTGTACATAGCCACTAGTACAATTAGAGTGCAGCACTAATTAGCATTGCTCCTGCTCCCCACCCCTGCTGCCCAACCTTATCTGTTTCCCTCCTACACTCCCTAGATGCACTTCCAAGGCATCTCCAAGTTTGTGAGAAGACTAGTCCCAGTTGGGACCACAGCATAGTGTGATCCTCCTTTCCCTGGAATCACATGCTAATACTCCAAATTTAAAACTTGAAAGTCAATCATTTCTAAATGAAACCTGCAAATCATCTCCTTTATGATGATCTTAGAAATAGAAAAAATCATGGCACTTTCTACTTTATACAAAGTAGCCCTTTTAATATATCCAACAAATAATTAAGTATCTATTATATTTCAGGCATTGCAATAGAAGGCATGGCCAAAGGAGGTCTTTTAGGAGATTTAGGTTGTAATAAACTATGCCACTCACTAACTAGTCACTTGTTTCATATCTGAGGATGAGCAAATCAAATATTGATAATGATTGCAGAAGGATCCAGATAGTCACATAATAATCTTCCTTCCATTTTAGAATAAAAGGAGTTATTCTGTTCAGGGACAATGGTATCTTAAGTAATTCACAGGTATGAGTGTGTGAATATCACAACTAGATGCAAACTTCTAATAACCATTAAATACTACAGCTTCAATCAACTAGTTTCAGAAAAGCAAAGACTTCAGCCAAATGGCATAATCAGACTTAGCACTTTACCTGAAAAACTTGGGCTTTATCAACTCCACCAGGTACCCAAAAAATGCATTCGAGGCAATGTCAGATAGGTACCATCCCAAGGAAGCAGATTTTTGAGTCATAAACAAGATGTGGCTCAATAATCAAAACAGGGAGGTAGGTTCACTCAAGTATCTAGAGCTTAAAATAATTCCATTTAACAGGTTTAACAACATGCAACACACACCCTCCAGCTGGCAGAAACACCTCTAACAACAAAAACAGGTAGCAAATACTAAACACCTTCCTAGACCATTCAGCAATCAGTGGACTACAGCTAACTCCTGAAGGTGAATTCAGAATCAAATCAAACCTCAAAAAGAGATTTGTTTTTCAGAGAAGTATGGATTCCACTGAATTCCAGGTTCAGATCAAAACCAGAAGTTGTGCTACATTAAAAAGAACACTGGCCCGGAACCTACAAGGAAGTTAGGTGGAAGAAGATGGAAAGCTGTCAGCCAAGATTTAAATTGCATATGTTATTTTCTTTCCTAAAATCAGCCCCATAGAGAAATATGGTCTGGTGGGCCTTGCTGATGTTGCTTTCCCCTCCAGGGATTCATCCTTGTTTTTGCAGAAGAAGGATTATAGTTCAAGCCATCTGAAAGCCTCCCAGAGACTAATGTTTCAAAGGAAAGACTCCAGAAGAAGAACAAAGAAGGAAGCTACTTCTGTGTCTTCGGTAATGTTCATCCAAACCAGTTTTCACTATCTCTCAAGGGATAAGAACCCTCAAATACAGCACATTCATTCACAGTAAGGTAACAAATTGAAATAAACATCTTATTTAGTTTCTTATCTGTCTCTAAATATTTTATTAGAGAATTTACAGGACCCATTGTCACATATTATCCCCATTTCTATTTTCTTCATTAAACTCTAGACCTATAGCAATGGAGGTAAAGGCTTAATTTAGAAATACAGGAATTATCCTAATTTATACAACAGTGGCAAACATTCTAATTATCTTTTGGGCATTTTAAAATACATTGTGTCCTTTTGCTTCATATTTCTCTAACTGGACTGCAAAGCTTGAGCCTACTTTTTTTTTAACTTTAATTTTTTTTTTTTTTTTGAGACAGAGCAAGAGAGAGGGCACAAGTGAACGAGAGGCAGAGAGAGAGAGAGAGAGAGAGAGAGAGAGGGAATCCCACGAGGGGCATAGAGAGAGAGAAGCGGGGCTCACATTCACCCGAAGAGATAATGATCTGAGCCTAAGTCAGATGCTTAACGGACTGAGCCACCCAGGCGCCCAAGCCTACTACTTCTGAGCATACTTTTCGTGTAACCTCCAGAGTGCCTGGCACTGGAACAGGCACATACCAGTTAGATGACAATTTTTTTTTTCTTGCACAAGTCAGGCCCTAACTGCTCTATACCAAAATAAACATTTTGACTGCCAATCTTGTCTAAGGCATTACTTGTCATAAAGGATTCAGAGAAATACGTGACCTACCACACACACACACACAATACCCTTTTATCCTCCCCAGCCTAATCCATCTTATCAGTTCAGAACTACCCTGATGTTGAGACTCTTATTTCTTTGCCTCAATTATCTGTCACTCTCTCAGTACCATCTGTTTAATGAAATGCCTTTAATTCTATAAATCAAATGAGAACATTTGCAAAAGTAATTCAATCGCACTTGAAACACAGTACAAAATGATGTTAATCATATGGCCCAATCATAAATATGGCTTCCCCATTAACACCTATACATCGTCACTTGAGAACTAAATTCCAAAATAGTTTCAAGAAAACTCTAAATTTTAAGCCCAGAAAGTAGAATTGTATCCCTATCTGTTGCTGACTCTAGTTACCAATTTTTTGTGAAATAATAATCCTCAAACACAATTTTCAGCAACTGACTTAAAGAAAACTGCCAGCCCCTTCTGTTTTAGATGAAACCAATATCCAAAGTACTCCTGACTTCAGTCTCGCTTTCCCCAACCTCGTTCTGTAAGGGTTAAATTGTACTGTAGGGCTAACGCTTAGCTTGAAAGATAACAACTTTGTTCTGACACTGAAGGTCAAAAGATAACAGCCTTGCTTTTACTCTTGTAAATCATACTCCATACTCTTGTGAATCAGGCTTTACCAATGAAGGAAACAAAAGCTCAAAAAAAGAGCATCAGAGACAAGGTCAAGGAGATCCACTGGTTGCAACTTAGCGCAGAAAGTCTAAAATAATCACCTCATTTGATAACTGTTTCTGACTCATCTGGCAACTGTTTCTAACTCATCTGGGAACTGTTTCTCTGTTCTGTTCCCAGATAATGATAAAACAATGTGATCGGCTTTAAAAACTCTGTACCCCGGCTGTTCGGGGCCACACTCTTATCAAGAGTGTTGGTCCGATCGGTTGGCCTTGCCTCTCGTTGTAATAAACTTTGTTGTGACTGTCACTGGTGCCCGTAGCATTCTGTTTCAGGAGTCCTGTGGATGCAACAATTCTTCCTCACTCTCAACACACACACCCTCAAAGCACTTTGAGCTCAGTCAAAACCATCTGTACCTCTGGTCAAGCCTTGCTTCCTCTCTGGAATACTCTTTCAGTCCTGGCCAATTACATCCACCACCCCACAATAAGGGGCTGCTCAAAATTCATTTCCCTGTGGAAGTGTTCTCTGATTTCTCTCACTGGGCATGCTATGTGTCAGACACTTTTATGTAATTTTGCACAGATCAATTCATCTCTAATGTCTTATCTTGCCAATTTTTGGTGTCAGCTCTATTGTCCTCTCCCCAGTCCTAGTCACAGCCTCACTAGGACCCTGCGACACTTGCACACGGTCGGAGGGATCACCTTCGATGTCTCCCGGCACAGTACTTTCAGCAATTTGATATCGAGATTGAACTGTAGTCCTGCGGCAGGCATTCTTGGTGAAACAGAGCCAGGGTACAGGATTACGGAGAAATCCTGGCTCCCAGAAGTCAGCTCAGCGAAGTAGAGAATGGAGCTGGGGACGCTGAGATGACGGCTGGAGAAAAGGCGCAGGAGGAAGTGGAGGCCAGAGGGTTGTGACTAGACGACAGGGTTGGGCAGGAGCCAAAAGGAGGGCGTCTCAGGAGGTCTGGCGAGCTGCCCCCGGGCAGGACCTCTGAGAGCCGGGAACGAGGCGGGGGCAGGTCCGACTCACTTGTGGGTTCAGGAGGCTGCCAAGAGCTGAAGCCGAAGAGCAGGTCGCGGTAGCGCTGGAAGGCCTCGTCGAGGACGGAGCAGCCCGGCTGCGCGGCAGAACTGACGTGGTACTGGAACTGGAAGTTGTACGGAAAGATGGCGTAGTGCGAATCGGAGGTTTGGATGTACTGGGGCCATGGCCAGAGGGCCTGCGCCTGGCGGGCGAACGCTGCCGCCAGCAGCAGCGAAAAACAGAGCCCGCAGCCCGCCATGGCTCGCCGGTCCCCTGGTTCTCGGCCGGCCGGGCCACGTGAGCCCCCGGTCAGCTGAGCGGCGCCCGCGTGACTATCGGCGTGCCACGTGACCGGCCGACACCCCTCCCCCCCCTCCCCTCTTACGCCGCGACCCCGGAGGACCAGCTCCCTGCCCCTCCTCTCACGGAGCGGTGCGGCGGTGACGAAGACCGCCCCGCTGCCGCGCCTCGGGCGACCTGGACCTAGTAGGCGCGGGCGCCGGGTGGGAGGGTGGCGTGGGCGAGCGGGAAGGGACAGTCTCCCAGCCTGAAGCGCGAACGAGATGGGAGGTGGAGGACGTCCTGGGCCCAGAGAACTTCAGAAGCAGAAACGCTGAAGGATAAAAACCACAGGTCGTGGTGATGTGAAATGCTGGGGGGCGGAAAGGGGCTGGAATTGGAGAGTCTGACTGGCTCTGCTTGACAGTTATCACGAGATCACAAAAATGTGATGTATTTATGACTGGAAAGAATCTGTACTTTTCAGAGCGAGCTGGAGGCATCTCATTCCCCGCTTCTAGTGTGGGCTCTTGCCCTGATGGTTGATAATCTCTTAGTAATTGCCCCCAAGTCCCCTCCCCCCCAAACATTATATACTTACTGCAAGCATTTAGACATTGCTTAGACTTTGGGTGCAAGATTGGGAATACCCAGAGATAAAGACAGGCCCCTGCAGGGGCTTACATAGCAATCCCAAGAGTCAGCACTTTGTTTTGTGGACAATTGAAAATCATCCCAAAGACTTGGCGTTTTAGCAATCTCACGTTGAATGGTTGCATGGATAAACTAGTTAAGGGGCCCTTTTTTATTGCAAGTGGAAGATAATGACAGCTTGAACAAGCTGTACAGCAGCAAGAGGACTGTAGATCCGGGAAATAGTGGGTATCCAGAATCGGAGGGGTAAATACAAGAGCAGCAGGTCGAAGTGTGATTTCAGGACTGAGCATGTGGGAAGGCACTCCTTTATGTGATATTCAACGTGTACCAAGGGAAAGGAGTCATTTACTTAAGTCACAGAATGAAGGAGCTGAACTCTGAATAAAGAGATTGTAAAAATTACTAATGAAAATACAAAGATTTTTCTTGAGAGAATATTTTAAACATATTATCCTCTAAGAAATACATCAATCAGAAAAGTAATGAACAACCATTAAAAACTTAAAGTCATAATCCATGTAAATGTTTAGAAACCAGATAGAGATAGTAGCAAAAATTAAAATTAAAGTTATTTAACAAGTGAATTCTTTAAATTAATATATATACATTGCCATCAATTTTAACAGATGAATAACAAGAATAAGGACATAGATAATCTAGTATATGATATTTGGTTGTTTTTTGCTATTTTTCCTTTTATTAAAGAGAGCTTGTTAAATGAATGAAACATAATTTAATTTCATATCTATAGCTTCTAATAAAATTAGTTTACATTATCAGAAAAAGAATTCACTATCAGACAATGTGTCCAGAATTTTGATTCATACACTCATCATTGTAGAAGCAGAGAGGAGGGAATGACTAAATTTTGCCTGGGGAAGTCTTTCACAAAGGAGGTGACTTTCCAGCTGGCTCCTAAAGCAAGAGTTTGCCAACCAGGGAAGGGGAGCATGGGCAAAGCACAGAGGAGTGAAAAAAGATGGCATGTAGGTATACCTGCTTTTTGAAAGTTGTTATTAAGCCACTTTGCTTTTATGAAAAACCTCCATCACATCAGTACCTGTTTTGCCAAAGAAATCTGGAGGATTTTCGTTTTTACAAAAAAAAAAAAAAAAAAAAAAGCAAAAAGTGAAAATAGTGTTCAGTGTTTGCTTTGCAGCAAGCCATTATAGAGGCAGTGTGTGCCCAAAGCAGAAAGAGTGGCCGTGTCAGACCCCTTCCCTGGGAACTATGCTCAGCCGCCACACCTTTGAACCGTGTCTGTGAGCATCTGGGCTTTCTCTCCGTTTATTTGGGGCCTCCATTAGCAAGATGTGTCCAAAGGTATCAGAAAAGCCTCAGAGAGATTATTTTTTTGGTCTGGGAATACTCAAATTAAAATTTTCCATATAAATTAAGGGTAATTGCTGCTGCTTTGCTTTGCACTATTTTGATTTATGAAAGGTTTCATAAGAATGCTCTACTTTATTTTTTTTTAGTTTTTTTTAATTAATTTATTTTTGAGAGAGAGAGAGAGGGAGAGAGAGGGAGCGGGGGAGGGGCAGAGAGGGAGAGAGAGAATCTCGAGAACACTCTGCACTGTCAGCACAGAGCCCGACGCAGGGCTCGAACTCACAAACCATGAGATCATGACCTGAGCCAAAACCAAGAGTCGGACACTTAACCGACTGAGCCACCCAGGCGCCCCAGGAATGCTCTACTTTTAGATAGTGGGGAACCTGTATTAAGGATAGGGCTTATGGGGATAGCAAAAGGAGATTTGCCATGATTATCTCACTTTTACCATACTCTCTTCTTGGAATGCCTTTCCCACCTCCCACTCACACTCCACCTACTTGAAGGTCTAAACTTACATTTTTACTATCCTGTAAATCTCTGACTTCTCAGACTTGGGTAAAATCCCATAACCCTTTGAGCTTATCTCCATTAGAGCACTTATGTCATAGTATTGTAATTGCTTGTCCATTTGTCTGTCTTCTCTGCTAGAGTAAAAGCTCCTTAAGCACAGGTTCTGTGTTCACTTCTGTATTCCTAGCCCCAGGCACAGTGTCTAGCACATAGCTCGATAAAGTCTTGTTAAATGAACACCTACAGGACTCTGAATATCTTTTCTACAGTTTCGCATCTACTTACCCTTCAGGCCTTTGCCTAGACCAGACCAGCATGTATGCTGTGACTGGGGTACAAGTGTGCTGAGACAGTGATCCTCTCAATCCTTAGGTGGCCAGGCAGAGCCTGGGGCAGCTAGGCATCCTAGCCAGTCACCTCCAGCTAAGAGCCATCTCCTACATGTGCTATGAGAAACTTTGAGAAGCACTCAGACATCACTGCCTTTTGGGTGCTTCTTTATGGCACTGTCACTTTATCTTCTTTACTTGTTGGTGTCCCCCACAAACCACATGCTGAGTGAGTGGTATCTTTTTCACAGTGGTATCCTAACTGCCTGAGCCAGGATTCTGCATGTGGTAAGTGTTCAACAAATATTTGTTGAAAGAATGAATAAATGAGGAAGCATTTGTATTAACTTTTTAAAGATAGTCAGAATTTCAATGTGTAGACAAAAAGCAGTCCATGGAGAAGGGCTACAAATTTGAGGAGAACTTCATCTAATTTGTTTGATTCAGGATCCAGAAGGTCCTAGAACAGTGTCTGGCTCACAGACACTTAATGAATATTTTTGAATGAAGAGAATGAACCTAGGCAGAGATCTCTAAAGAATCTGGAGTGCTATGGGGGTGTGAGCAGTTCTGTTTGTCTAGACTCAATAGTGCATGAAGAGAAATACTGATAAAAATGTTAGTTTCCCCTTTACCATAGGCGCTATTTGATTAAGGCTCCTGCCTACTTTAAGCTTACATCTAGGTCAGATAAACTCATGGGAAAATATCAGAAATCCTATCCAGGTTGGGTCAGCAGCCTCTGATGTTGGGATTTTTAGACCAAAAAAGGGCAAATTTATATAGTTAGGATCGTTATGTGGTGTTTAAGGCCTTTTCAATAGGGACCCCTTTTGCTTAAACTGCATCCTGCTCCAGGCAACCTGATGGCTTCTCTGGCCTAGGATTATCTTGGCTCCAGTCTGATCTCTTAGGCCTTTATGCCTAGAGCCTCAGTGGTTATAAATGCTCATGCTGGCCATAACCACAGACATAATCTGAAACCCCCTTTAGGGAGGTGGGGCACCAATGAAACCTTAAACTAGTTATGTAAGTCCTTTAGAGAAAATCATTCAGACCCTTTGCCCACTGGAATTCCCCAGTTGGCCCTAAAATTTATCACTCATTTCCTTGCCTTCTTCCCATTCTCCTCCTGCCTGGGTCTATTCTCCTTCCTTGACTACTAGGCTATAGACTCCAAGAAACCTAGAGCACAAACCCCTTCAACTTTCCTGTTCTTTGGCCATCTATTAACGTTTGACTTCAGGAAACATTACTGGCATATTACTGTGAATCAGATTTCCAAAATGTCCAATATCACCGATGCTATGGGTAGACCTCTTTGTGGTAAGAGGACAGTTAAAATGTCTTACTTATGTTGGGAGTGCCTTTTGGATCTTTCTCTTGGATTTTTTTTCCTTCCTGGGATTGATTATCCTTCTTTGAATTTTTCTGCCACAGAAAATGCCCTGGGGCTTCCTCCCACTTGGGAGAGAACTGGAGAGAGGAGTCAGGAGGTGTCCAGAAGAAGGGAGGAGTGGAACATGATGCAGGATGTAGGCTAGGCAGAAGGAATCCTGTGGCCCCAAGGTAGTAATGCCTAGCTCACCTGTGTAGAGTATTCATTCAAGATCTGGGTCAAGGCCCTGGCTACAGTGTTCCTTGGCCTGGAGTATCCTCAGCATGTCTCTTCCATAGGGACTTGGGTTATAACCACATTAGGCAGTTGGCCAAAATTCAATGGTTTGAATATTCTGCTCCTGGCCTCATACTATCATGAATAAAGATCAAGCATTCATGAAATTCCAGAGAAAGATTCAACTCTTAACAAAGATCTTAGGGAGAGACACTACATTACTGAACTCAAATCGATATATGCTGTTTGGGAAAAAAAAACAATATATAGTTTTCAAACATACAAACCTATGCATGGTTAGATACATACTATAGTGTATGTTTGAAATCTGATATACAAACAGTATATATTTACTGTTCGGAATGTATGTTTGAAAACTATTTAATCCTCTTTTGTAAATGTTTGCTTGAATTAAAACAACAGAACAACCTCCTTGGCACCCCCAAAAGGGATACAGAGATCTAGGGGAGAATTCTGGGAGGCATAAATGTTTAGAGCTAGATATGATCTTCGAAATTATCTAAGTTACTTCTCATTTAAGATAAAAGAACTGAGA